GTATAGGAGCTTTTTATTGCTTGAAAGTAATTCAAGTGATTTAAAAACCATGAGACTTGCACAGACACCTTGTATAATGAAATTCTCATTTTTTTTGTATAATCATGATTGATCTAGTGTACACGCAGTGTATGCATAAAACTGCACTTGTTTTGTGTAAATTTGGACCGCAGAACACATTTCACAATCATGCGAAGCAAGTTTTCTTCCAAAACGGTTCCTGCACTTCCTTTACAATGGGGAAAGTACTATTGGCACCAGAAAATGTTCTTTAAGTTTGTTCTGCTCTTTAAAGCAGAAAAAGCTTTTTAAGTTGTGGCTTTCAGCCAATGAAGTGCTTTTCCAGAGTATTCCCCTTTAAAGTTCTGTTCCATGTGCAAATTGCCATGCATGCCATTGCTAAATATTGCTCTTCAGTTGAAAAAACAACACATATCTGATTAAATTCTTGTTACATTTGTTGTCCAAGTGCTTTGTTTTATTTTTCATTATGTGACTGTTCCCAAGTAGCCATTTCCCCTCCCGCCATCTCTCCCCCTGTCAGCATGGTGAAGCCCATTGTAGACAGTATTCATGTCTATGAGCACATTTCTGACAATGCTTTGTCGCTGAGCTGTGATTTCCCCCCTCTACTAATGGCCTTTAATTTCTCTCGGCAGCCTCAGCAGAAGGACGGCCCTTCTATAATGCTATTTTTGTTATTTTATTGTGCCTAGTGAGAGCTGTGTGTGTGTGTGTGTGTGGGGCAGAGTATGCGGACTGCCGGTTTAAGTGCCTCCATTCTGTATTTGGATGGGAAGACTGTACATACAAACTTAAACGTCTGGGATGGATTGATAGTTTTTATATGTATGAGATTTTATAATTAATATTTTAAAAAGTATTTAAAATTGTGTGTTTAAATATGTAAATACCAAAAATAACAATAATAATGATTAGATTAGATTAAATATTTAAAAAACATAAAATGTAATAATAATTTTAAATATATATATATATAAAAATATATAATAATAATAGTTACTATTAATAATAACAATAATAATAATAATGAGAAAATATTTTGTTTTTAAATATTAGCTTTAAATATTTAAACATTAATAATTTAATTCAAATGTAATAGTGGTAATAGCTGGTACTACTACTGCAGTAGTAGTTATATATTAAAAAATTTAATAATCATCACAACTCCTACTAGTAATAATACCTATTATTTTTATATTTAAATTTAATTATTACATTTTAATGTTTAAATATGTTAAAAACTTAAAAACTAATTAATTATCCAAAAAGTATTTGTGATTCAAATTGTAAAAACTATACATTTAGTTCAGTCTAATTTAATGTTATATTTTATAGAATTGCAAGTGTGCAATGAGAATGCAGCTTTAAAAAATATATAATAATAATAGTTATTAATAATAACAATAATAATAATAATAATGAGAAAATATTTTGTTTTTAAATATTAGCTTTAAATATTTAAACATTAATAATTTAATTCAAATGTAATAGCGGTAATAGCTGGTACTACTACTGCAGTAGTAGTTATATATTAAAAAATGTAATAATCATCACAACTCCTACTAGTAATAATACCTATTATTTTTATATTTAAATTTAATTATTACATTTTAATGTTTAAATATGTTAAAAACTTAAAAACTAATTAATTATCCAAAAAGTATTTGTGATTCAAATTGTAAAAACTATACATTTAGTTCAGTCTAATTTAATGTTATATTTTATAGAATTGCAAGTGTGCAATGAGAATGCAGCTTTATTTGTTAACTACATATAAAAAATAAGTCGATTTGTAGAAACTGCATGTTTCCTATAGAAGACTACAGAAAGCCCAGATTAATCAAGCTCCAGAATGGCAGGGCAGAGCAGATCGCTTTCCTTTACAGGAGCGAAGATAAAGGTATGGTCACAAAGGCATTACAGCTCCTGTCAGTCGACTCACCAGGAAACCTGGATCATCTTTTAAATACTTGAGATGTTCATTATACTGCCGTACATCCAGCGGGAACGGAGGAGATGCTCCACTGAAGCTCTTCAAATGGAGACACTCTGCATGTAGAGGAATTAAAGGCCTGTTTGCTGTTGGATTCAACTCAAACTCAGGGTCGAGACAGTTCAAATGGTCAAGGCCTGCTTGAATCAGCACTGAAATGAACTGATTCACTAAAATGAATCAGACTTCATTTAGTTGTCTAAGCATGTCTTAATTGTAGACGTTCACGTAAAACCATCAGCTGCCGAAGACTATTTGTGAATCAGCGCTGTAAAAATCTCCCGGACACTTCCCAGAGACGTTCGCTCATAAAGCAAAGCACGAAAAAGTTGCCTAACCTTCTTCGAAAGCGACAGCACATTTGATTTATGATGCTTCACAACAGCTAAAATTCGATTTCTGCCAGCATTCGCCGCTTTTGATTGCCCCGTAAATGAGATAAACTGATAGCAATTTATTCAAGGATCCAAGCGCCCCCTCCACCCCTCCCATCTCTCCCACTCCTCTGCCTTCAGTAGATACAACTTGCTCCATGTGAGTGATTCTCATACTTAAGCAATATGTCTGTATTCTGCATGCACTCACTAGAACAGACAAGCGTGCACTAATAGAACCTTTCAGGCTGTACAGGGGCAAAAACGACGACGTTCATGATGGAAATTGCGTCCGCGCACACATTCAGCCACTGTTATTCTGCCAGATGACCAAGCCAAGCTTAAGAAAATCAGAGGTTAGACCTCGTACTCTTGAGGAACTGTCTGCGTAATGAGACAGAACGAGCGCTAAGAACGTCTTTAACTCCTGCTGCAATGGGAAATGACCACGTTTGCGATCCCTTGAGCTTGTAATGTCATCCATACACATTTAAAACTAATAAAACAGCCACAACAGTGGCGCTGGATCATTTGATGCAATTTTAGCTCATGTAAAAACACAATTAAACTTGATCCTGGTCGCATTTAAATAGCTGAAACGGATGAAAATTAAACAAAAATCCTTCTTCAAACCCTAAATGTCTTTATACCACCTACAGATATTTATTCATCATTTAAGTGCTTGATTGCGGTCTTTTTGTGTGACTTCAAAGATGCACATAGGCTAAATGTGGATTTATTGAATAGTTTTCCAAAAAAAACAACAATTTTATTAGGAAGCGTCTGTGTCTTCATCATTGATGGACGGTGTCCATCTACTTGATGGATTTTGGAACAAAACAGCCTGAGGGATGCGCTTTTGTTTCCTCAATAACAACCAATTAGGAGTCTGTATTTGTCATTGGGACGGGCAATAAAACCCAAGTGGCACCGTCTTCATGACACATCATCTCTGTTGTACATGGCACAAAACAATGGATCAACAATGAATTTTTTCTAATTCAGAAAAAGATTGAATTATTTTATTAGCCACAGGCCAACTGGACTTTTTTATATGAGAGCATTTTGTACCTAAAACAAGCCTACAAATGCTAAAACTTTTTCTGATATCCAATAAACTACGGGTGTTTGTGTTATTTTGTTACCAATGGGGACAGTGAGATATAGATGATATAGTAAATGGTAATTTTTTGTACAAATAACACAAACTTGTACAGTTGTGCATCCCTTTACCTTCATTCCCTGCAGAAAGGCCGTCCGGTTTGGTGATGCCTGTGCTTTTTTTCCGTCTGTGTTTCTTGCGGTTGGCATGAGGTGATGGTGGAGGCTCAAGTTTGGGACTGGTGGCGCTGTTCATGCCAGGGGCGGAGCTGAGAGGATCTGACATCCCATTGGCTGGAGGAAAGAAAACAGACATGAAGTTCAACCAAAGATGACAAACCCTGAAATCCTTACAGTCAAACTCCACAAACATTTTTGCTACTTTTTTTTTTCTTACTGGCCAAATTGTATTAACTTTATATAAACTATGTATTATATTTCATTCATATATATATATATATATATATATATATATGTATATATCACTAGAACAGACAAGCGTGCACTAATAGAACCTTTCAGGCTGTACAGGGGCAAAAACGACGACGTTCATGATGGAAATTGCGTCCGCGCACACATTCAGCCACTGTTATTCTGCCAGATGACCAAGCCAAGCTTAAGAAAATCAGAGGTTAGACCTCGTACTCTTGAGGAACTGTCTGCGTAATGAGACAGAACGAGCGCTAAGAACGTCTTTAACTCCTGCTGCAATGGGAAATGACCACGTTTGCGATCCCTTGAGCTTGTAATGTCATCCATACACATTTAGAACTAATAAAACAGCCACAACAGTGGCGCTGGATCATTTGATGCAATTTTAGCTCATGTAAAAACACAATTAAACTTGATCCTGGTCGCATTTAAATAGCTGAAACGGATGAAAATTAAACAAAAATCCTTCTTCAAACCCTAAATGTCTTTATACCACCTACAGATATTTATTCATCATTTAAGTGCTTGATTGCGGTCTTTTTGTGTGACTTCAAAGATGCACATAGGCTAAATGTGGATTTATTGAATAGTTTTCCAAAAAAAACAACAATTTTATTAGGAAGCGTCTGTGTCTTCATCATTGATGGACGGTGTCCATCTACTTGATGGATTTTGGAACAAAACAGCCTGAGGGATGCGCTTTTGTTTCCTCAATAACAACCAATTAGGAGTCTGTATTTGTCATTGGGACGGGCAATAAAACCCAAGTGGCACCGTCTTCATGACACATCATCTCTGTTGTACATGGCACAAAACAATGGATCAACAATGAATTTTTTCTAATTCAGAAAAAGATTGAATTATTTTATTAGCCACAGGCCAACTGGACTTTTTTATATGAGAGCATTTTGTACCTAAAACAAGCCTACAAATGCTAAAACTTTTTCTGATATCCAATAAACTACGGGTGTTTGTGTTATTTTGTTACCAATGGGGACAGTGAGATATAGATGATATAGTAAATGGTAATTTTTTGTACAAATAACACAAACTTGTACAGTTGTGCATCCCTTTACCTTCATTCCCTGCAGAAAGGCCGTCCGGTTTGGTGATGCCTGTGCTTTTTTTCCGTCTGTGTTTCTTGCGGTTGGCATGAGGTGATGGTGGAGGCTCAAGTTTGGGACTGGTGGCGCTGTTCATGCCAGGGGCGGAGCTGAGAGGATCTGACATCCCATTGGCTGGAGGAAAGAAAACAGACATGAAGTTCAACCAAAGATGACAAACCCTGAAATCCTTACAGTCAAACTCCACAAACATTTTTGCTACTTTTTTTTTTCTTACTGGCCAAATTGTATTAACTTTATATAAACTATGTATTATATTTCATTCATATATATATATATATATATATATATATATATATGTATATATATATTAGTGCTGTCAAACGATTAATCGCAATTTACTTAATTTATTTAATTGCAACGTTTTTGTTTACTATGTGTGTGTACGGTGTATATTTATTATGTATATATAAAGATACATACATACAGCATATATTTTGAAAATATTTACATGTATTTATGTGTATTCATATAAATTATATCATATATAAATATATCAAATTTATAAACGTAACATATCTTTCTTAAATATATACATGCATGTGTGTGTATTTATATATACATAATGAATATACACAGTACACACTCATATATTACGTAAACAAAAACTTTTATTTTGGACGCGATTAATCGCGATTAATCATTTGACAGCACTAATATATATATTACTTTTTATTAATTTATCAGTTTTTTTTTTATTGTACGTCCCAAAGTAATATCAATCAAACTGCAGTTGGGTTGTTTTGATTAAGTAATAATAACTCAAAAAATACAGGTAACTTACAAACATGAAGCTCATTGAAAGTATGTTTTTTAATACATTAAATATTTGTTTTTTTTAGCAAAAGCAGATAACTCCACATTTCGTGTTTCAGAGGTAAACGAAACCAAGTAATTGCTTTGTAATTGCTAAGTTAGTGGGACTTGGGGTTCTAATCCACCCTTGTATAGTTTTTTCCCTCATTAAAACAAATGTGTTCATCAGTGATGGTTTGTGTGCATTTTATTTTGTATTTTCACCAAAACGAAAAGAGTCTCCACAACAGTTAGCAATAGATTGAAGCGCTCGTCTGTGCATGAGTCGTCGGCATTGATAACAGTGGCAACAAGCACTCAGCATCCTTTTAAAAGCAACACATTCAAGAGGCAGATCGCCACTTATTTTAAACAAACAAACAAAATTAATAAATACTCTGCTAGTCAACTAGAGATGTTTTATTTGTAATAGACATATCTGTACTGTGAGATGTTTCAAAAATATTTAACATTAACAGGGGAACAACTCCTCGCATTAACAGGGGAATATCGATCTGTCCGCTTACACTGCAGAAGCAAATAATGCATATATCTGATTAATATGAGTGTAGATGCGAACAGACGAAACTCCTCTCAGCTAGCGAGTCTTTTCGAAGTGACTAGCAGCCTTGTCATCTGACCTGAATACTGCGCGCTGATTCGCTAAAATTTACTTTTTGGGTTCTGTCCATAAACAAAAAGGGCACTTGTTGGTTTCTGCTGTAAAACGTGAATTCGCGATGCCTTGACGGCGGACAATACCGACTTTTGTGACAAAACGTGTTTAGGGTTCAGAACGTGCTATATGTGGAGAATAACGCATGGCAGTCATTTTTTTTACGTGGCGTTTATCGGTTTTTGCAAATGAACTCTTCATATACACACACACAACAATAAAATAAAAACCAAAAACTTTTTGCTTCCTAGCACAACTGATGAACTTATGTTATTAAACATCATCTAAACAGGTTACAGTTCGACGACAGATGATTTTTCCTTAATTTTGGTAACCCTGGTTACCCACTTCCACCACATTTTACAGTACAAGTGAAGATCCACAACCACAGAGAAAAACAAGAGCTGGACCACACCTCCGTTTCACCTCTATTAGCTTGACGAGAAGGGGACGTACACGTGAGTAAAAAATGATGATTTGCTGTTGCCCGAGGACCGGCGCTGTAATGGGAGATGCCACACGAGCATCTGAGAGGTTGGGTTTAGGCGTAAGGTACAGAAGCGATATTAACCTGCCGCTCCACGCTAGTGTTTTTCTGTGACGCGGTAAGAAAAGGGGGTGTCAGTAGGGAAGCCACGGCCATCTTTCTGAGCCTCATGACACTTCCACATCATTTTTGGGTGCCCTTGGGACACTATTACCCACAACCCCCCGACCAGCCCAGGGGCAGAGGGGCCCGGCAAAGTGGACCCCATATTGTTAGCGGCCCTCAGAAACACACTCGCACACACAGTGTGTCAGATGCGGGCAGCCTCCTCCATTGTCTTGGCATCAAAAGCTCATTGTAGTGTTGCAAACTCCATTCATCTCTACAGGCCTGGGGTGTATAAGAGTGTGCGCGTGCAAATGTGTGTGTGTGCGACGACGCTCGGGTCTGGGAGTGTCTGAAACCCGCGGAGCTAAATAACGCATATTCTAATGGCACCAACAACCATTAGCCTATGTAGAACATTAGGCGTAATTTGGGGGTTTACCTTGAGGGATCGCTGGGCTAGCATGCTCTTTAAAGAGAGAGAGATGGAGGCGGCGCAGGGGGTACAGGACAATAAACTACAGCCACCCGATCCGCCGTAGGCACCGACGACTTTAGCGTCTAGCTAATGCTACCTTTAACACTTCGGATTCCCTGCGACAGTTCTGTACGGTGACCGCTTCATATGGTAAACCGACGCAATTTGTTGTTTTATTGATAAGACACGGTTAATAATTATGATTGAGGCATTTAATAAGAACAGCTTGATAATGAATAAATGATGAAGTGGAGGATTACTCAAATGCACTGTGGGATTTGAGCTTAATTACACATGGCAAGAGACAAATTAGAGGGTTTAACAATTAGCCTTGTTACACAATTACGATAATTCTCAATCAATATTGTTGCTTTGTCTTTATCAAAGACGTGCAAGAAAGGTTCGTCCTAATGATAATGTTACTGTGGTATCTGGACAATATACATGTAAATTGATAAATGTTTTTGTAAATTAATTTCTTTAATCAAATGTCAAGATTATGGGTTTAAATGTATACATTAATATTTTAATTCATAAGGGAAAGTGTTATCAAGGCACTTTTCACAATTTTAATCACTTTTCAATTTAAATAGATAATTGTAAATTACTAACTAGTGAATTTTGAGTATATATAGATACATATTTGTGCAAGATACACAAACACAAAAAAATTATATATATATATATTAACATTTATTTTCATTATTAAAGATACTACCCATAATAATTGTATATTATTTATTTAATTTAATAATTAAATTATATTACATTTGCTTAAAAATATATTAAAATAAATTAAAAAAATTATATAAAATTATTGTCTTTGACACCAACTTAAAAAAAATGGAAGAAATGCATTTTTATTAATCAAAGATACTACAGACAATAATTTTGTATTTTAATATTTAAATATTATTTATTAATAGTATCTAAATAAATGAAAATGTACTATCATTGGACATTATTAATTTAGTAAACATGCACTGCAGTATAATCTGTAAATTTAGACTGTCTGTTTCTATAAGTGGTAGCACAAAACCCTCACTTAAGGCCTCTTTCTTTTCCCAAGATCACCGTGTTTACCATGAGTGCCGTTTAGTCTCTACAAAGCAGATATAGTGATATGAGCTCGCTGGAAACACGGCAGGTTGGCAGTTGATGCTTCATCACTGACTCCGTGTTCACCATTGATATTCATGACTTTAAGAGTCTGCTCTCCCTCCCTCATATGAATGGCGGAGCGGCGCTCCCAGCTGCCACACACGTTGTGGCAGGGACGCGAACGTCTGTTTCAATTTCTACACTCCTCTTCCCAACAGCCCCCCTGGGACCAATCATTAGCTACAGCAGACAGCTGGGGGTAGAGGGCTTCTGAGAATACTGTTCACACACTACACACATGCAGAAGCTTTCGCACATTCAAACACACAAACACACTCTCAGTGAAGAGCGCCCATCTCCAGCTGTGACAGCAGTGGCATTGTGTGTGTAGGTTGAGGTTAACAGTGAAGGGCTGCCCTTGTCAGATCAACCATCTGAACCTCTGTTTACAGAGTCATCACTAAACGAAAAAGTACCACGGTACAGCGATAGATGGTTACAAATGACGTGGTGTTTTGAGTTAAGCCCTGTTCACAGCAAGAACGATAACTATAACGATAACAATATTAGCGTCCACACCAGAGGCCGATATCGTCTGTTTATTCTAAGCGCATGCTCATCTGCCGCTTTAAATTCTCAAGCTTGTTATAGCAGGATGGATTCTGATTGGGTGTCAATGATTGCATCTTTCTGTAGCTGAAAAAAATCGTTCTGAAAGTGATTCCAACGATATCGTTTCTCTGTGCCTTTATCGTTATAGCTGTGGTGTGGACCCTGCAATTCTTTAATATTGAGAAAGATTTTTAGAACTATATCTTTATTGTTATCTTTATAGTTATCATCCTTGGTGTGAACAGGCCTTTATACTATGGAACTGAATTAAATTGATTATTATGGTACTTTGATAATTTTCATTTTAATTAATTATTTTATTATAAAATGTAACCACTCTGATCTTTTGATTTGACTGCCCTTTAGTATCTCATGTATCAGGGATATTTATCTTTGACAATTTGTACATTTTGTTTCCACCTTTTCTATATATTTTATAGTACCATAATATTGTTCCCATTTTGGACCTCATGTTTATTAAAGTGTTTTCTTTATCAGAATACTTAAGAACATTTATTTAATATACATGGTACCATAATAATGTTTGCTGAGACTTAGGACCAGTAAAATAATTATTTATACTAGGGGTGCTCTGATTGATTGGCTACCGATCACTATCGGCCGATAATCGCGTTGGGATGATTGATCGGCGGTCTCTAAAAAGGCAGATCTTTAAAAAACGATCTCAAGCTGATGACGCGCCTGCAGTGAGAGGTTTGGCGCGACATGCAGCGGCACCGTCTCAGTCATTTCTTTTTAATTCTTGCCAGTGTTTAAACTATTCAGCGCTCGCACGCTCTTCTGGAGACTGAGTGCTCATGCACACTCGCAGCGCACACACATAATGCCAGGTTCACACT